TATTTATGTTTGCTGGGTCTATTTGTTTTATTTCTTGAGCTAGAGTCTCCCAATGTCAGTCTGGTCTTGAACCCTGGGCTCAAGTGATCCTCCCACCTCCGCTTCCCACAAAGCTGGGAGTGCAACCTTCCAGGCCCACATTTAAAATCTAGATAAATTACACATCCTGTAAGAAAATGTAGCTCAATGTTTATCTGACATAATTAGTAAAATGCTACCTTTTTTCAGATTAGCTGATTTTAAAAGGTAAAGAAGCTTTGAGGTCTTGCTTAGAGTTCAGTTCCTTCAAGAAACTCTTCCTAATGAACTCCTCCTTCAGTCTGTGTCAGGCTGTCCCCTGTGTGTTCTCAAGCATCCTTGTCCCATTTGCAGCTCAATGCTCTGTTATGATTACGTGTTTATATATACCTTCCTCTGATCTGAATTGTGTTTCTTTTTCACTGCCATGTCCCCAGTGCCCAAGAATAAATATTTCTATAAATATTGGTGAACAGAGTGATGAATAGATGGGTGAGCTTGCACTGACACTGAGTAAGTGTTGATGACTTGCTCCCTGCTCTTCTCTTTTCACTGTTTTTTTTGTTTTTATTCTGTGCTGTAGAGAACGTGGTAGAGTATGGTTTGGCTGATGCTGTGATGTAAAGGGCACCTTTTAGCAAGTGATGCTAATCTGTTGTGAAAAAAGCCTGCTTGGCTGCTGAGTGGCTCCTCTACCCTACCATCAGAACAAGCTGGTCAGCTTGCCAGATTAGATCTTTAGTATGCATATTTTCGATGAGCAATGCTGTTGCCTTGTCTTGACAGTAGTGCCTTACGAGTTGTTCTGAGTCATGCAGTTTAGTAGTAATTGAGCCTCTGTTGTCTGCCAGACACTGCTCGAGGTACTTTGGGAACTACACGAGCAAAACATAACCCTGTCCTCTGTGAGCATTATGCAGGTAGATGACAATGGGCATGTTAAAAAAGGAAATCACATGGTATGTTAGCAGTCAATAATGCCATAGCAAAAAAATAAAAGCTAGACAGGGAAGGGGAGGGTAGGAGTATAATGGCAACAGAGAGATGCAATTTTAAGTGGAATGGTGAGCATAGGCCTCACTAAGAATGTGAGTTTTGAGGAAAAATTTGAATTAGGGAAATCAGACAAATAGATATAGAGAAAAAGCATTCCAGGCAAGAGGAACAGTCAGTGCAAAGGTCCTGAGGCAGAAGACTGCATGTTATATTGTGTCTATACTGGCACCTGTGTGCTAGGCAGGTGGTCTGCCCCTTGAGCCATGCCCTCTGCCCTGACTGCAGCTGGTACTGAAACTAGAGCAGAGGTTACTGTGGAGCTGAGTGAGAGCAGAGGGGAGAAGTAGATGAAAAAGTCGGAGAGGTAATTGAGGGCAGGTTATTGGATTAACATAATCCAGGGCTTTATAGCCCATTGAAAGAATTTTTGTATTTTACTTTAAGTGAAATAGCGAGCCTTTGAGGGAAAGGAGTGACAAGATCTGATTTTTACTTTCAAAAAGAAGCACTCTGGTTGGGCATGGTAGTGTACCTCTATAATCCCAGCTGCTCTGGACGGGGAGGCAGGAGGATATCAAGTTTGAGGCAGCCCCAAGCAAAGTTAGTGAGACCCTATTTTAAAAACAAAATGTAAACAAAAGGACTTGGGAGTGGCTCAGGTGGTAGAGCCAGGGCCCAATACCACAAAACAGACAAACAAACAAACAAAGCAGAAGCCCTCTGCCTCCTGTGCTGAATAAACTGAAGTGAGTCCCAGGGTCATTTAGAAGTGAAAATGTCAGTTGCTGTGATTATTTCAAATGCCTGTTTAAATATGGAAGAAATGCCTTTTGCCCTTCAAGTGGGGCTGACAGTAGCTAAGATGTCAGTCTGTGACCACGGAAGAGAGTTTTCCCACATAGGAGCCTTTGCTTTGTGCTGCGCTCTCAAAAAAGGTGGAGATCCCAGCAACTGGAGCTGTCCAAGACACGCTCAGTAAATGAGCTCTTGAAAGGGGCGCTGTCTCGAGTACTGAAAACCTTACTAGAGTTCTGCTTCTTCTGGTGCAGAGCATTTCACTCAAAACTCTCTTTTAGAAATGTGATTTATGCTCTTTATACTTTGAAGAAATTTAAATGAGACCCGTGAAACAAGATTTGTATCAGGCAGTGAAATGATCTTTTCAACTTTCAGCTTAATTCAGTCTAATTTAATCCCTTCTGGAAGCTGGGAGAACTAGCCTGGTTCATTGCTCACACCTGTAATCCTAGCTACTTGGGAGGCTGACCAGGAGGATCATGGTTTGAGGCCAGCCAGGGCAAATAGTTCACAAGACCCCATCTCCAAAATAACCAGAGCAAAATGGACTGGAGGTGTGGCTCAAGCAGTAGAGCGCCTGCTTCGCAAGTACAAAGCCCTGAGTTAACCCCAGTCCCATCCCCCCAAAAAAATAAAATTATGGGAGAACTGGATAGTTTTCCAACTGCATACTCAAATCAAACCTTCCTTAATTTATTTTAGGAATTTAATATTTAGTGCAGTGACAATATTAGGCATGTCTTTACTAAAATGCAATTAAATATGCTTTCTAGAATCAGACTGGAAAGTCTGTGATTTGCTGTTAATGCCCCATTTGAATTGACTTCTCTTTACATTGGCTCCCTCCCCTCCCCTCTCACAAGTTTTAGAAGGTGGTCTGTCTTCCGCACACAGTGACTGCACGGTTCTTGCTGTTGCCCTCCATTGCAGGATTTGCTTTGGAGTGGAAATTGACAGTTGCTGGGCTTGGATTGGTCTTTGGGCCTCCTGGCAACATCACATAGTGATTAGGCTCCTCCCATAAATACTGGATCTCACTGTAGCCCAGCAGCAAAGCTTGACAGTTATCACTATGCACAGCCTTGGAGTACTGAAATTGGATTCTTCCTCAGCCTGAGACTTGAAATTTGTCCTAATTGGCATTATAATCTTGACGACCATTATCACTGATTTTCAAGGACACTCCTGATTTCAAAACATAAACCAATTGTTTACAATATTCTCATTTATCAGACTGTGTGCCAACTCGAGATTTAAAAATACAGTGACTGAGTGGTAGAGTGCTTGTCTAGAAAGTGGGAGGTCCTGAATTCAAATCCCAATACCACCAAAAAAAATTTTTTTAATTAAAAAAAAAAAAAGAAAATACAATGACTGAGCCAGGCATGGTGGTGCAGTCCTGTAATCCCAGCTCTGGCAGGAGGATCACAAGTTTGGGGCTAACCTGGTGTTATAACAAGACCCTGTCTCAGGTCTAACTCAGTGGTAGAGCACCTGCCTACCACACACAAGGCCCTGGGTCTGACACCCAGCACGGGGGTAACTATAGTGACTCGTAAGGATGTTGCTATGTTCTTACCAGCTTTTCTTCATTAATTAACTTTAATAATAAGTATTGAGAATTGGTAAGCCTTAGAGATAAGGCTTCATGGGTTATTGTGACATTTATAAAGCTTCTTTAAAAGGTCATTCTCATAATACAAGTTCTGTGTCCACTGGAAGGCCTCAGAGGCAATGTGTGCTACAATTAGGATCACGCTGTTTGGAGTCTGGCAGTTTTGGATTCAGCTCCTGACTTTTCTGTTTCGTTTGGCTTTGAGCAGGTCACTTACCTGAGTTCTGTCTGTCCATCAATGAAATGAGAACACTAGGGAGTTCCGGGTTGGGGTTGTTGGAAATAGTGCATGCATGACACACAGATATGGTAAACTGCTTCCCACAGTGCTTGACACAGTCAGTACTCACTGCTTTTAGTTACGGTCTGGGATGTCTCCTAAATCAAAACTGCCTTCATGAAAACACTTCAGAGATTCTAATTTAGTCTATAAATTCCTGGTACAGTTTACTCTTTTCTCAAGGCAGTGTAAACATGCAAGTTTTAAAATTATGAAATGTTAAAATCTAAAATCACAGCTAGGCTAAGTCCTGTTGCTGTTGATACAGTGAGAGCCTTACAGGGAAACTGTGATGGGGAAATTCAGTTCCTCTTGGAGAAAAGAAAACGCTTACCCTAACTTAAAAGCATTCAGCCTCTGTGTACTGGTTTGGTCTTGTGTGTTCTTATCCAGTGTGACACACCAGTGACTGGTTAAGGCTGGTGTTTAGGTTTTCTGTGATGGACCTGTTGGACTTGAATGTAGTCACTTCCTAATCTCACCACAGAAAAATGGAATTAATAATGAGCACCACACCTGTGGGAGAAGTTCTAGATGCCCCTTCCTGCCTGCAGATCAAATGTGTCCCTGTTCCTTTAAGGTCAATGCAGGAACACCACCAGTGAATGATATCTTTATAGTCACTCCTGAAAAATGAGAAGTAAAGTTTGAGAATCTGAAGATACTCCCATTTTAGAACCTATAGTGTACAATGAGGCAAAAATATGATGGATTTAAAAATGTAAGGTACTTTTATGGCCATGCACGTAGTTATACTGTATTTTTTTCCTGCAAAAATAACATTTTTTTAAGAAAACTAACGTAAGTATATCTTCCTAATCTTCATGTTTGATTTCTTTCCTTGTCAATACATTTTTTCTTTAGAGAACATGGCAAAAAATATATCAAGTAAAAGAATATAAAGATGTTTAAGTTAAGCCAGGCACTGGTGGCTCATGCCTATAATCCTAGCTACTCAGAGGCAGAGATCAGGAGGATCAAGGTTCGAAGTCAGCCGGGGCAAATTATTCTGCAAGACCCCATCTTGCAAAAAACTCTTCACAAAAAAGGGTTGGTAGAGTGACTCAAGGTGTAAGTCCTGAGTTCAAACCCCAGCACCACACACACACACACGCAAATGTTCAGACTAGAAGGCTGGTGTTACTGAAAATGAGCTGCCCCCTTCCCCAATAGGTAGTTGTTGAGTTTTTAGCTGTTGTTATAGTGCTTTCCTTGAAAACTTTTGAAAGTCTTCTGAAGACAGAACTTCCCTATGGGTTCTGGGTCACTGTGTACCTTTCCATTCATTCCTAGGTATCTGGTGACCCATCTCATGGGGGCTGATCTGAACAACATCGTGAAATGTCAGAAACTCACGGATGACCACGTTCAGTTCCTTATCTACCAAATTCTCCGAGGTCTAAAGGTACAGACAATATAAGTAATAATTTTAAGGAATGAGTTCTCTCCTTCTTTCCCTCCCTTCTATTTAGGGCTTAGAACAAATGAGCAATCAACTTTTCTTAGGAAAATTCAAACCCACACAGAAACACAAGTAAAAAACGATGGTGTAATGAGCCATTGTGCTCAGTCAGGGACCACCACTACCAACAAACAGCCAACCTCGTTTCTTTTGTGTTTCTCAGGCAGGTTATTGTAAAGCAGGTCTAGGTATCATATCACTCCAGCCATAGAGACTTAAGTATAAATCCCTAAGAGTTAAGGACTTTTCATTATCATGTTAAAAAAATTAATCACTTTTCGGTATAATATCTGGTAAGTGTAATGTTGAGGCTTTATAAAACTCTTTAAGGAAGCTAATTTAATTGTGGCAGGAGCAGATAAACAGTGTTTCAGAATTAAACCATTATCTGTGATATTTAGCAGCTTTGAGTCTTTATTGAGGTCCAGAGAGCCACCCAGAAAATAGGTTGAAAGCTCAAGATAATAGAGCAGAAATTGGAGTATTATAACTGTTCACAATGCTGATAAAGTGTTCTGATTTTGAATCCCACTGTGAACGCTGGCATTCTTATTGATTCATGAAGATGTGTTGCAATTATGCTGTAGAATGCCACAGTGGAGGGTGGAGATAGCTTTTGTTTAGCTGACTTTTTTTTCCTCTTTTGCAGTATATTCATTCAGCCGACATAATCCACAGGGTGGGTATCTCGACTTTAATCATAATTGTCTTGGGGGTGTGAGGTGGGACTAGAAGAATGGTATCTAGCCAAGACCTTCATCTAAACTTACTTTCAGCCATGGAAATATTAATTGATTGCAACTTTCTCTTCGTTTAGACTAATAAAAGAAGGACTTATAGTTTGAAGGCTAATTTGGCCTGTAGGCTGAAGACAGTGTGTACACATCTGAATGAGGTCTTTCTTTTATGCTGGATCTTCATATTATCTGCAGGGGAGAACTGGCCATGCCTCTTGGAGTTGACCTGTGCTCTCTGTTTGCTCCCTAGGACCTCAAACCTAGTAATCTAGCTGTGAATGAAGACTGTGAGCTGAAGGTAAAGTGAAGCGATGAGGTTATTTGCTTGACTCACCAGACAAACTTTTTATAGGGACTGATTTATAAGCCATGACTTCTTAGCTGAAAATTTAAATTGTCCTTAGGAATGTCAGACTTTAAACTGTAGACTGAGTAAGGTACTTATGTGCTATTGAAAGTAGCATTAGGTGTTTTGTTTCAGTTTTAAGTAAAGATGGATTAGGAATGTGATATTAATTATATAAAGGAAAACTGTGCTCTGAATGTCAAGTATCCCAAAGCTAAAGCACCAGTTATTAATTAAGTTCCTAAAAGGAAAATGGCAGAAAACCACTCACTCAACATAAAGTAAGGGGGGGAGAAAGGGTGAGGGAGGGGGGCAGGGGGGAGAAATGACCCAAACAATGTATGCACATGTAAATAAATGAATAATTAAAAAAAACCATAAAATAAGAGAAAAGTGAACTAATCATTTCCAAAGAGCAAGCAGCACTACAACTCTTCTGTCCTACTCATTTCTTGGTTAACTTTTTTTGTTGTTTGTTTTTTTTGGCAGTACTGGGGTTTGAACTTGGGGCCTCATGCTTGCTAGGCAGATACTCTACCCCTGAAGCCACACCCCAGCCCTTGTTTTTCTTTTTGAGACATATTCCTATGCCTCAGCTGGCCTGGAACTCAGACCCTCCTGCCTTAGCCTCTGTAGTGCTGGGAGTACAGGCATACATCACCTTAATCATTGTGTGTGTATGGTACTGAAGTTTGAACTCAGGATGGCGCATTTGCTAGGTAGGTGTTCTACCACTTGAGTCATGCCACCATCCCTCTTAATCAACTTTTTAAAAATAACTAGCTGTGCATAGTGTATACCTATAACCTTGGTTCAAGGCTAGCTTAGGCAGAAAAACTAGTGAGACCCCCATCTCTACAAAACAAGCCAAGTGTGGTGGTTCACATCTACAATTCCAGGTAAATCAAGAGGTGTAGGAGGAACCTGTACTGAGACTGGCCCTAAAATATTAAAAGCAAAAACGGCCTAGGGCCTTGGCCCAGGTGGTAGAGCACCTGCCTAGCAAGTAGGAAGTCCTGAGTTCAAAATCCTAATACTACCAATAATCAATCAATTAATTAACATACAGTAAGATGTACCATTTTGTTTTGTTATTTTATCTTATGGTACTATGGGTTGAACTCAGGGCCTTGCTTTTGCTAAGCAGGTGCTATACCACTTGAGCCACTCCTCCAGCCCTTTTGGCTTTATTTTTGAGGTCAGTTCTCAAAGGTTTGAACTTGGGGCTCCATGCTTGCTAGGCCGGCGCACTAGTGCTTGAGCTCTATACCACCAGATCTAAGGGCAACAGAGCTTTTTCCCTGCCACCATGTAAGCCTTGACAGTTTGCCCATTCCAGTGTCTGATATATGCTTCTTTCCCTTAGATTCTGGATTTCGGACTGGCTCGACACACTGATGACGAAATGACAGGCTACGTGGCCACCAGGTGGTACAGGGCCCCTGAGATCATGCTGAACTGGATGCATTACAACCAGACAGGTTTGCTTGCATTTGTCTGGGCCTTGTCAGCACCTTATGAGGTGTGTGTGTGATTCTCACAAGAGCAGTGAAGGAGGAAGCCCTCCCTTAGTGGGCTTTTTAAAGTCTACTAATAGAAAGTACTTGCTCAAGTGGGGAGCAGGGGCTTTTCTATACAGCTTTCAAACTGGGATTTAGCAGTTTTTATTTCTTAAGTTTTTATTTCTTAAGTTTTCAACATTTTTTGAGTAATTCTACTTGAAGACAATGGGTTCATAATTTTAACCCTTCAATATTACTTGGGATAACCTAATAAGAAATATTTGCTCCTTTGTGAACAGCCTATTTCTTTTACCTTAAGTACATTTTTACTTACTCCATCTATGAAGCCCTTTAATTGGGGAGAAAGTCTTAGCTTATTTATTTCTATAAATGTAAGTGTGATTATTGAGCCTCAGTTGTCTTAAATAATATTGATTTGAATATTTCACCCTCATTGTAGCTAAGTATAAAAATAGTGACCTCGTGTGTGCTTTTATTTTTCTTCAATTTTGCCAGTGGATATCTGGTCAGTGGGATGCATAATGGCCGAGCTGTTGACTGGAAGAACGTTGTTTCCTGGTACAGACCGTATCCTTTTAAGAGTCTTGGATTCTTGTCTCTTCTCTGTATTCCAGTCACCATGGATGTGTATGACCTAACTTCTCTGTAGAGAAGGCTCTTATTTTCTTGCTTTTGTAGTTGCAATATTTGTTATGAGGTCTACCCTGTTGCTCAGTAGCTTTCTTTGCTAAGAAAGAGGCTTCCATTTGTTTTTGTAACCTAGAAAAATAAGCTTAAACCCCTTTCTTCTGTGGTCTTTTCTGCAGCAGGGTCCTTATATTATTAATCATACTGCAGTAGTTCTAAGACCCGAGCCTACCTGTGAGAGGCTGTTGATTCCAGTGACAGGTTTATTCTACTTACAAACCCTTAGTGAGCACGATACCCATCTATTAATCCAGGGTGTCTCGCTGTTACATTTGGTTGGTGTACTAAAAAGGCTGTGTTGTCTTTGTAATGACATACCTGCTGACTATTGTTAGGCTTGTTGTTAACAAATAGTAAAAGCAAGAAGTAAGAAGTTCACCCTGTCACTTGCCTTTTGTTTTTTAGCACAACTTTATTTCAGATCAGAGCTAAGCCTCAGTTTAGTCGCAGACTTATTGTCTAGTTTATGGTTTCTCATTGTCCCTTTCCTGTCTGTGTGTTTGCTGCACAGTTTAGTGATAATGCCATGAAAATGTGCTTTGTTCAAACTCCTAGCATTTCTACTTGTAGAAGATGTGCGGGTGAGAGCCTTAAAAAATGTGTCTAAAATTGGTTTGGGGGATATTTGTAAAACTCAGCTGACTGGCCTGCAAGTGGTTTTGGTTGGGCTCTTAGCACTGCCACATTTACCTCTGTACAATCCTGCTTAGAGATCTAATGCCTGTGTAGCTCTTACCTAAGTAAACTCACTGAGTTTATAAGCCAGAATTGTCAGTGTTCTTGCTTACAGTTTGGGGTGTGATCTCTGGTTGCCGTGCTGCTGGGGTATCTGTCCACATATTCTGTTCTGACCATCTTCTGCTGGAGACCATGCACTTTCCTGGTGATCTAGAAAACCTTTGCTCTTTATTTCTATGAATATGATGGGATCAAATAGGTCCTTAGCTCACTTTGTCAGTCCCCACTTTTAGATTTTGAGTTGTTTAATGCCTAGTATTTCTCCCTTGTCCTTTGTTTCATTCACTTTATATCTGTTTCTAAGAAATTATATATAATTATAAAACAAGCCAACTTGAGAGAAGTAGGGGAAACTTGGTAACTCCCTTTGGTTCGTCATGTGGAGCAGACTCTATCCTGAGGCTGTTCTCCTCTATTCTCTTCTCGACATCTGTATCTCTAGCTCCCATTAAGCCAGTCACAGACATGCATGCCTGTGTAGACAGAAAGCAACAGAGAGACAGATGGATAGCATACTGGGTAGGAGTCTACACCCTGCAATCAGACTTCCTGGGTTTAGATGGTAGCTCTTTTACTTGTATCTATATAACTTTGAGCAAGTTTCCCAACCTCTGTGTCTCTCCATTCCCTTAACCACAAAACAATAATAATAGTACCTATCTCACAAGACTGTTGTGGGAATTCAGTGAGGTCGTATCTGGAGAGCACTTAGACCAGAGCCTGCCAGTATGGCTAACATCATCTTCATTCCTGACTGTGTTAGTCACCCTTTCATCACAGTGACAAATACCCGAGAGAAGCAATTTAAAAGAAGAATTTATTTTGGCTGTGGGTTCAAAGGTTCCAGTCCGTGTTCGGTTAGTTCTGTTGCTCTGGGCCAGGTGATGCAGAATATCATGAAGGTGGCAGTGTGTGGCAGTGGAGACTGCTCACCTGTGGCAACCAGGAAATAAGAGAGGGTGGGCAGGAAGGAGCCACAGACAAGTTACTCTTCAAGTACACACTCCCAGTGACCAACTTCCTTCAACTATACCCCACCTCCTAAAGTTTCAGCACCTCCCAAAATAGTGCTGCCAGCAGGGGACCAGGCTTTCAATATGGAGCCTGTGGGGGACACTTCATATGTCCCTGGACCCCAAAGGCTCATTGAGTTCATCCCATAATGCAAAATGCATTTAGTCTGATTGCATTTCAACTGCAACCCAGCAGGGCAAACATTGAATCCTAGAGCTCCATGTCTGACATCCAGGTCACACAATGGCACGGTCTGAGCTCCAAAGGGCTTGGACAGCCCCGCCCCTATAGCCTTGCTGGTTGCCACCAGTGTGGCTTCTCTGGAGCTGCCTGCAACTTTCCTTGGCAGACAGTCTGTGTTCCTGGCCTTCAACTTTTTGGGGTCTCCATTGCCTCTTTGACTTCACTTTCTCAGCTTCACACTTTGCCCTCTCAGGCTGCTCACAAGGAATCCAGTCCTGCTGTGTATTGCCTGACCTCCCAGGCTTTCCTTTGAAATCTGGATGGAAGCTTTCAGACTTCTTGCATTCTGCCTGCCTGCAAAATCAGCATCACGTGGACAATGCCATGGTCTGTTGCCAGCTCATATAGTAGCTGGGGCCCCCTGGATCACAGCTGCAGCAGCTCTAAGTGCCTGAGTGGTTGAGTACAAAGAAATGAGTCCTTGGGAAACAGCTTCCTAGGCTCCTTGTGAGCTGGGAGCCCCAGAAGTACTCTCTTCTGTAGTGAAAGCCTGTGACATGAGCTTACAGTTTTTCAGGCTTTGGCTGGTTCCTGAGGTATCCTCAAGGCATCCTTCCTATTGTCTGAGTGTGAAGTACTTGATTACTTTTTAATGGTGCTAATCTCTGTAACAACCACACCCTTCTTGTCTACTACTTTAAACTGGCCTCCTTTTCTAGCTAAATTGCAAGCTTTTCAAATCTCTGCTTTTTTGCTCCCAGTTCTCACTATAAAGTCAGCTAAAAGCAAACAGCAGTAACCATGCTGCAGCATGAATGCTGAACTGCCTTGAAAGTTCCCCTGCCAAATGAATTAGTCTGTCATTTCTAAACTCAGCCTCCCAGTACAGTCAGTCTCAGGACAAAAACGTGGACAAGTTCTTTACCACAAGGTAACATGAGTGCCCTCCAGTCTGATTCCCAATAGAGTCCTTGTTCCTGTCTGAAACCCATGAGCAGTCTTGACTGTCCTCACTTCTGTCAGCACTTCTGGTCTTCTGAACTCTCACCAGAACTGCCCACTGAGCTCTGCTTATGGCATTCTAGGACTTCCCTAGCCCACATCTCCAAACTTTTTCAAATTCCTCCTACAAACCAACCCCAAAGGCTTCTGAAGCATGGGTTCAGGTAGTGACAGCAACCACCCCACTTCTCAGTACCAATTTTCTGTGTTAGTCAACTTTTTATTGTGTGACAAATACCTGAGAGAGGCAACTTAGAGGAAAGATTTATTTAGACTTGGATTTCAGAGGTTTTGTTGGCAGCTGACAGTGGAGTCTGTGATCAGAAGACTTCCAAATCCTTTGTGTCCCACACTGAAGAATCCATGGCAGAACACGTGGGTATAAATGGAGTGTATTAAAAGTTAGGGAAGGGAAATACAAAGAGGCACATGATGGGGCCCAAGTGTAATCTAGAGGCAGAGTGTGTACTTCTAAAACCTATGCTAACCTAGGGGAAGGGAGGAATCAGGTGATTCCCATCAGATAATCAGTAGTGGGGAGGGGCATGGAAGGTTCCCAGAGCATGTGAGAGCAGTCCCTGAGCCAGTGTGGTCAATCTGAAATGCAATTTTAAGTTTCTGTGAGTCCTGAACTTTCCCTAATTTTAGCTTACCTCAGTTTCAGTCCTGCTTCTGGCAGAGCATCACATCATGGTGGTAGAAGTGTGTGGTAGAGGAGGCTGCTCACCTTATAGGTGAGCCAGGAAGCAGAGAGAGACAGGAGAGAGGCTGAAGTATGCAGTTATTTATGTTCTAGTGTGGTGGTTCTTTTGTTTGTTTGTTTGTTGCGGTACTGGGGTTTGAACTCAGGGCCCAGGCCTTGAGCCACTCCACCAGCCTTTTTTTGTGTGTGTGTGATTTTTTTTTTTTTTTTTTTTTTGAGATGGGATCTCTAGGACTATCTGCCTATGCTGGCTTTGAACTTCGATCCTCCTGATCTCTGCCTTTTGAGTAGCTAGCATTATAGACGTGAATCACCAGCCCCTGGCTGAGAATTTAAGTTTTAACCTTGGCTTATCCTGAAAAAAATTACTTAGTTTGGCAGTCTTTCATCATTAGTGTTAAGGTACCAATGAGATCAAAAAGTTCTAGTATCCTTTTTTTTGCAATGACTCTGATTTCTAGAAGTCCTGTTGCAAAACCTTTGGAGAACATGACTGCAGTTTATTCATGATTTTTAAATTCAACTAGTTCCTGAGGTAACCTCCCAAGGAAGCTGTTTATTGGAGCATAGTTTTCTGTTTTCCTCACTTAGTAAGATAAGAGCCATAGATAAGAACTGAGTAATGTAACTTTTTGAGGTACTGAAATGTTTTATATCTGTACTGTCCTGTAGGGTGATTAGTAGGCACCAGCCTATGTGGCTAGTGTAACTTAGACACTGAATCGAGAATATTGTGGTAAAATGTATGTAACATAAAATTTACCGTTTTAACTTTCTTATTGTGAAATATACATCACAAAATTGACCGTTTTGAAGTTTATAATCCAGTGGCATTCATTGGATTCATGATGTTAGATAATCATCACCATTATTCTTGTGACTTTACAGAACCCTCCCATCCAACTTAATTATAGTTTGTTAATAGTAATTTTATAAAAATGAAGCCCTTTGCTTGGGCTGGCTGAGTGGCTCATGTGGTAAGAGCACCTGCCTAGCAAGCATGAGGCCCTGAGCCTGAGTTCAAACTCCTGCGCTGCCGCCCCCTCACCCCCCAAAAATAAAAGAATGAAGCTTTTCCCTATATGCCTAATTGATTAGTTATATCAAGCGGACTCGGCTGACAGAACTTGAGATTAGAAGGGAGGGAGAGTACAGGATGGCTCTTCAGGTGTAGCACTAACTTATTTCAAGTGCCATTGATTTGAAATGGATGAGTCAGGAAACATTACCAACTCTGACACTGCAGCTTGAGGAAGTAAAAGAGTTTCAGAGCTCTGTTATGCAGCAAATACTGTTTTTCCACCAGAGATCAGAGCCTGGCTTGTTTCCTGTGTAATCAGGTAAATTCCTTCACTCTTGTTTCATTTGAAGAGAAATGGTCGTCTCAGGACAGGAACAGACAACGAGGCTGTGGAGTTATCATCCACTGGCCATCGGCAGCCGTCCTACTCCACATGAATTTTCTCTGTGTATTCAATTAGCTCCTGAAGTCTTCTGTTACTCATCTCTTCTTTTGATCTGTTCCAAACATGTTATGAAATAGTTCAGACACACTACAAGACAAAGAATGATACAATGAACACCTGTGTCCACTCCACCCAGATTATTTGATAAAATGTGGGCAATTGTCCTCTATCGTCACATGTACCCGTGGCTTTCAGTTGGTTTCACATATTCTTCCTCATTTTTAGATCTTTTTTTTTTTTTTTCAGTGCTAGAGATTGAACTCAGGGTCTCATACCTGCTAGGCAAGTGTCTTAGTGAATGTGGAAGAAGAAAACTACTTGCAGAAAAGGCTAGGGTTCTTGAGGTTATCAACAAACCTTGGATACCTCAGGAAATTGAGCACTTAGAAGCGACTAAAATGCCCCTCTTTCCCTTTCCCTCTAATTATCCCATTATCTTCATCTTTTCTTTTTCCTGCTTTTCATTCTGATTACCTTTTGCTCCTGTTCTCTCTCTGTTACAGAGAACTTAATATAAGGCCTAAGATTACTGTTAGGCCTAAGTTGACCTTTCCTTCACTTTTAGAAAAGCTCAGAAAATTTATGATTTAAAACTTGAGATTGTGATCATTTCATTTAAATCACATTTTAAGTAAACAGTAAGTGTATCTTCTACCCAGGGAAAAGGGATTAAACCTGTTGTGGAAGTAGCTAATTTTAATGCAGTAAGTTTTGCTTTGCTCTGCTTATATAGCTTCTTGAAGCTCCTTCTGGCCTGGACATGTAGTGGCCTTCCAGTAGTAGCTGGCACTGTTGAAGGACTAGCTGTGGTTCAATAGATTTGCAGCTTTCAGAGAACCTCCGGTGGTTTATACTGAGGTTTGTGGGGCTCGACTTCGTTCGTGCAAGTGCTTTTAGCTACTAAGTAGATTTTTCTTTTATATCCTGTGTTTACTAATCTTTGAAATACTGCCTGTCATGTTCTGTCAACCCTTCTCATAGCCCTTATGCACTCGAGGCACTATATTTGTATACTCTTTATGGTATAAACACTTCAGGTAGAGTTTTAAGAACTTTGTTAGACACAATATCAAACGAAGGAACTTTTTGGACTGCTTTTTTGTATGTAAACTTTCCATAGAATGTGGTCATTCTGGGTTGTGAGGGCAGGGTGGAGGATTAGAGTGGAATTGAAAAGCATGTACAACAACCCCTGTTCAAGTCAGCCGGGATTTCTCAGGAGAAGCTACCTGCCCTCAAACCGAAATGATGAGAGTCCGTGGGAAGTCGGTTACAGGAGTTACTTGAACAAATAACTTCCTCTGGTTGTAAAACAAGATGGAGTGATTAAAAAACAAAACAAAACAAAACCACTGGAATAGAGGTATAAGTAAACTGTCGAAAAAAGGAGAGAATTAATTCAAACTCAAAATATCCAGGAAGACCTCATGGCAGAGTTTTGTTTGAGCAGGTCTTAGAAGACCAAATAGGAAGAGGAAAGGCTTGGTCAGGGGAGAGTGGGGAGAGTGCTAAATTGTGACTTGCAGAAAGAAGCTTAGAAGGACCTGGAATGTTTGCTGTGAGTTGAACCATTGAGTGTGTGCAGAAATGCTAGTTGCAGGTACAGTCAGAAAAAGCCATCTGATACCAAATCACAGGGGGCCATGAATGTGAGACTGAGGATCTAGGATTTGATTCTTCAGGCCTGAAATTATTTCACACAGAGAGGGAGAAATGGGGTCCCAGCTCGCTAGTATACTTAGCCGCTGCTCTTCAGGTAGGGATCAGAGTGAGGTTAGGGAAGTTGGAAAAGTTACAGCTTCCTTAGAGGAAGTATATGTAAAACTTGACTTTCCCTCCAAGAAGTCACAAAGAAGTCTCTTAGACAAGAGAACCAATCCAGCTGCTTTATTATAGAGATTAGTTCTAATTCATATATTGTAAAATATCTTGCTTCAGGGTTGACATCTAGTTTTTTCTCATGCTTGGTGCACTCTTATCTTGTGGTAGCTACTCAATTAAATGTTCCTGAGGAGGGCGAGTATGAGGGAACTAGGTTTATTAAATTGAGTAATTTTAAATAATCAAGAAGATCCTTTACTGATTTCTGTTATAACATAATTAGCCGCTTTATGTTAGAGTGAGGCAGTGTCCATCTCATCCCTGTTACTGCTCTCTGCCCTCAGACATAAGCTTTAAATGTTTCCTTTCAAAACCTTTATCTAAGAAGCCAGTGTTCAATTTAACCTTCAAAACACACTTGCTTTTTGCCATTTGCAGGTGACAAAATTTTCTACTGCTCTTAATTTAGAAGTAACTTATGTAAGTGAACTTGTTTCTAATTATTCTTTGTTTTCTATAGGATATAGTTGTTTGGGCCTAGGATGAAATTTGGCCCACCTTTTCTTAAAGGGTAAGATCAGTAAATATTTCAGACTTTGGGAGCCCTTCCTGTAGTTTCTGTTGTAGCTCTGCCTATTGTAGTGTTACAAGCACTTAGAAACAGGAAGTAAGCAAGTGGGCATGGCTGCGTTCCGATAAAGCTTTATGAATAAAACAGTCAGCACACTGGAGTTTGTTGACTCCTGTCTAGAATTTTCTTCCATTTAAGCAGATTTTATATCTGGGGGAAAAACAAACAAACAAAAAACCAAAGCAAGATGCCAGTCATCTTATTGCATAAGTAATTCCTGTAACTTAGGCAACCATGGCTTGCAGAAGCTGTTATTTGTAATTGATGGTGTCTTGCCTTTATATGTATAATCATAAGCAAAAATATTTTCTTCTGTCCTGCTGTATCTGCTTCTCAAATATTTTGTGTGCCCTCCCTCATGTGCCAGATGTTACAAGTTAAGAATTGGGATGAGAGCTGGGCATGGTGGTATGTGCATGGAATTCCAGCTTTGCAGACAGCTGAGGCAGGGGAGCAGTAAACTTGAGGCTAGACTGGGCTACATTGCCCAGTCTCAAAAACAAACAGAAAACAAAAAAGAATTGGGGACAGATGGTAAAAGGCAGAGTCCCCCTGCTCTCATAGAGCTGTAGACCTGTAGAGGTGACAGACTTAATAAGCACACAGATTCCAGATTGAGATGCACACAATGGTGTCATGGAGCATGGTCCTGGGAGAGAGATAGGAGTGAGGCTTTTATTGGGTAAAGTGTTAGAGGGGCCTTGTGCAGAGGGTAAAGTTTAAGCTGAGACTTAAAATTGAGAAGGATCTAATCAGAGGAGTCAGATGGTCATCCTCTTTTCCTCCCCACCTCTGAATATCAGGGTAGATAGGGTAAACGATTCAAATGGTCACAGAAAATATTAAAAGCTATTTTTGTAAGTTTTTTCTCTCTTCTAACTTCCTTTTAGACAAGACTTAAAAAATAAGAACAAATGAAAACTTTTTTTGTCATGTGGTTAATACATGTACATTCATTCTGAGTGTACATTGAAATGCTGGCTACCAGAATTAAAGAAAGTTCTGGCATTGTGGCTTACTATCAACAGTTTTTAGTATGTCTGTATTCATTTTGCCTTTATAAGGTTAGTGAACGCTCAGAGGGAGAGCGCCCTCTGCTGGCTGTCTGGCCCTAAAACTGCCTACTATATGGCTTGGGAGGGGGAGGCTTCTAGTAGAGGGCGTGCCTGAGCCTGCAGCTTTGGGATCTTCTCAGGCCTCCCAACTGTCATATTACAAGCTCTTTAGGTCAGGCCTTAGGGGAATAGTCACAAATAGAGTGCATGTTCCCAGCTGCCATGCTCTGCTGCTTTTTTTTTTTTTCCATAGCCCTCTGCTTGCCAGTGCTCTCTGCTTGCCAGGCTCGGGGTGGAAGGTGAGGGGGTAGGTATGGACTGAGTGGGGCCTTTGTGTTTTCATCTGCCGTCTTTGGCAGTTAAGACCCAGCTAAGGTCGTCTCACTTCACTGATGCGTGGTGTTGACAGGTGCACAGATGAATACAAGTTGGTATGTGTGGCAGCATTTTGAATCTTTGCACAGGAGGCACATGTCCTACTTGAAGTGACCATCCTGCAGAAGCTGCGACCTAGATGAATTCACCGTGTTGGCTTGGTTTGGGGTTTTGAACTTTTGTTGTTGGGGTGTTTTGTTTGTTTTTGTTTTATTTTGTTTGTTATTGTTTGTTTCGTTTTTATTTTGTCCCAACATTTTCCTTTATAGTCCACCATTAGATATTGATCAGTTGAAGCTCATTTTAAGACTCGTTGGAACCCCAGGGGCTGAGCTTTTGAAGAAAATCTCCTCAGAGTCTGTGAGTTGATGCCTTGATTGTAATTACCTGCCCTGTTGGGAGCCTCTGCCACTTGCCCTCCATCATTCTGTACTTTGACCCTGGTATGTTTGTAAGCACGTGTGCCTTTTGTATGCTGACTTCTGAAACAAGGTATATGTGTGTGAGTGTGCATAATGTGTGTGTGTGTGCATGTGCCTGCTTGCATGCATGAGCGTGTTTTCCTCTCTTTATCTGGGCGTGAACTTAGATCACAGGACCTCTCTTGGGCAATTGTATCCCAGTAAACATGAAATTTAGATTCCCATTCATTCCAAGTTATTACTGGAAACTTTATGTCTCTTTTCTCAAGCCCTGACGTCATCACTCAGAAGTTTCACATGTACTCAAGGGCTCTTTCACTTTTTGTTTAGTGTTCACTCTCAGAGCACACCATGTCTAGCCTCAGTTCTGAAAGATGGTAGTCCGCACACTACCATCCCTTTCCAAAAGGCACTTGCTTTTTATTGTTTTAGAGTAGACATATTCCGTATAAGGTATCTGTTCCCACCAGGGCTCGCTGTCTCCCCAGCCCTCAGACCATAACCTTACTTAGGAATTGCATGTTGACCAACCTGAGAGAAGGCTTGGGAGTTGGAGCTGGTGCTTTCCTGCCTGTCAGAGGGATGTAGATAGGAGCTACAGAAGATGACTCTGGCTTACTCTGCTGTCATTTCCTGCTATTGGTCATTTTCTTGGGCCAGAGACAGGAGAGAAGCTATAGAAGTCCCTCCTTTCTCCATTTCCTCTCTATCTGCCACCAGGCAGTTGGCCAAAAGGCAAAAGGAGCATGGAGCCAAGCTCCAGCTTTGTCTCCCTGGCTTCTCCTTCCAGCATTTCTGACAGAAGGAACCCTTTTCCTAGTTGGGAAGACATCTGAGTAGGTTGGGGAAGGTTTGAGCAAGTGAGTTGAGCTGTTCATCCCCATCCCCTTCCACCCATACAGACAAAGAATACCATCTGGTGTATCATACATCTCTCTCTGTTTTGGTGATACTGGGTTTGAACTGTGCAAGACCAGCGCTCTACCATTTGAGCCATGCCTCCAATCCTTTTACGTACAGGATCACAAAGCCAGTACAGTTTTTAATTTCCACTCTGAGGAAATCCAGTAAAGGGCTGTGCTAGAATTCTATTTCATTTTGTTTTGTTTACTTGTTTAGGATAAGGAAGCAAAACCACAGAAAAGTTGTGACTTGCCTGAGTCATGCTGAGTCATTTGGCAGAGCTGAGTATATGATGTTCTGATTATGATCTAATACTCTCATGTGGTTAAACACCATTTTGAAAGTCATTGTCAGAAGTACTGACCACAATGTCAACCTGAGAAGGTGTTTTCTTTTGCCTTCTGTAATGCAGAAGCTGGATTAGAGTGAATCGAAGATACGATACTTAGGAAGGGCAGGCTTTTTGGTTTTTTAAAAATGCATTGCTTGGAAGATTGGCTGATAAAAGAACGTGGGGACAGAGGAGTTTAGAAGGAGCTCAGTTAATTAATGAGCGGTGCTAATGAGACTGAGACATGTACTCATTCCCTGTCTGGGAATGACTACCAGGAGCAATCTCATCCCCTCTCCCATCCCAGCCATGTAGATACAGGCTGTTAGTCTTTCAAAGTTCTGAAGTACACAGTTTGGGTAAAACTGTACTTACCTATCTTAATTCATTTATGTTTAAGAAAGAAACAGTTGGGTGCATGGCCTAATAGAAAGATGTCTTTATCATATGTTTCAGCAGCTCTAGCATAGCACTGGGTGTAATGAAATTGATTACCAGAATAAAGAACCTACTCAAGTAATACTGAGTATAGGAATAAGAATGGAGTTGTTTCCCTACATAATTGTGGAAAGTAGATAATAATTTAAATATTTTAAAGTGTAGGCAAGATTAATTTAATGTTAATGACACTGCCCAAGTATTTGTTTATCTAAAAGTGGGTAATGCCAGGTATGGTGGCACCTGCCTTTAATCCTAGCACTCAGGAGGCAGAGGTAGGAACATTAAGAGTTTGAAGTTAGCCTGGGCTACATAGGGAGACCCTGTGTCAAAAAACCAAGGGCTGGGCATATAGCTCTGTGATAGAGTACTTGCCTACCACAAGCAAGGCCCTGGGTTCAATCCCCAGCACAACCCTAAAAAAAAAAAAAGCACATGATATGCAGACTACAAATGGAAAAATAACAAAGCCAGGTAAGTAAAACTGTTCAAAGATTTTTCAAATTAGAAGAGACATTAGTGAAGAAATAGTAAACAGAAAGCCAACAGATACTTTCATTACTCTAAAGTGTGAAACAGTGAAGCTGGCATTTGTGAGAAAATATATAACCAATGAGTAACAGGACATTCTGAGTGAGAAAATACAGAAAAGGATGGGGAATGAGCAGGACGTGGCATAGGAAAAGGGGTAAATTCACTTAGGACAGGGAATTTATTTGTTTGGTGTCCCAAAACCTAGAGTCACCAGTGAAGGAACAAAACATCATCATAAGAAAGCAAAAGCCAGACTCACTGTTCTCTCTAGAAATGTAATCCTCTACCTTCTGACAGGAGGGAACTAATCAGCTATTACCTAACAGGAGCACAAGCTGAACCCATCCAGGCCGAGTGCAGCTCACAGACAGAAAGAGAGTGGCAGGACTGCAACCAGTACCCTGCCAGTGCTAGTTCCCTTTTGCTCGCTCTCCTGGCACGTGAAGTACTGTTTCCCATGGAGCTTATTTATAGGTGTACCTGCACTTTGTCGTTGGTTTAGAGAGCAGGAAAGACACAGTGGAACACATGGCCCAGCTCTGTCCCTGTGGCCATCTGTAAACATCCATTAGCAGTAATCTGACCACAAGGGAGTTGAGTTCAGAGGATGAGCCAAAGTGGGAAAATTACTCAGGGAACTCTCAAAGAAGTGAAATTAGTTGGCCATGGTGCTTATTGAAGCTGAAGGAAGAAATCAAGAGCTAACAAGAAAGGGAATAGAAAGGGGGTTTCTTGAATAATGTCAAAGATTTAAAAAGTACCATCACTTATTGCTTTCAGTGGGAATGAGTGATAAACTAGCAGGTAGGTTTTATGTTTTGGTAATTGGGGGTATTGTATTAATGATGCCACAGTTAAAAGGAAGAAGTTTGGAGTAGAATTACCTTTAAGAAAACAACATAGTTCTGCCCGTCAGGTAGAGTGTTCTGCACACTTTCTTCCCAGCTGTTGGTTAAGTGAAGTTAACCTGCTCACTCGTTAGAAAGGCAGGTGGAAGTGGTCATTGTGGTTAACAGCCCGTGACTTCTGTTTTGCCTTTGCCATTAGCCTCTAACTCCCCCACCCCACCCTTCACTTACCTTGTGTGTTTGTGGCATGTATTTTAAGAGTACCAGCACTAATATGTTTGAAACTTGGTGTTGCTTATCAAACCACACTCCCACTTGTGTCTTAATTTGGAGGGGTGGTACCTTGGAGAACCTGTGCCACAAAAGTGTAATCTCTTTCTTGAATGGATATATTGGATATTTTATTTTGCCCAAAGTATAGCCAAATTTTTCTCAGGCATCTATTTTCATACCACAGACAAACAGAGTTTGACCATCAATACTTGAAAGCAGTTCTGTAGCTGACATTTTGAATCAAGAGCATCCTGTTTCCTGGGAACCTAAAATACATAACATCAGGGCTGGAGGCATGGCTAAAGCAGTAGAGGACCTGCCTAGCTAGCTCCAACAAGCCCTGGGTTCAAATCCCACTACCAAAAACAAACAAAAAATAATAAAAATTTTAAAATTTAAAAAATAACTAGCATCAAAGATGATACTAAAACCAAAGAAAATGAATAATTCTTACCTGCACGGCCATTCACTGGCAACACACCTAATAACTTGTGCCATTCACCAAAGCATGCCCTAACATGCGACCCTGGACTCTGGCCAGGGTGGGTGGGAAACAGGTTCCTGTTCTGTTGTGTTGTGTCTGGGGTGGCTTTTTGACCATCCTAGAACTTGGGTTGATGGTTATTTTTTGTGCTGTGTGTCTAACAATGCCCTTGACCAGGCATCTAAGATATTAACCAGCTTCAGCAGATAATGCGTCTGACGGGGACACCCCCTGCTCACCTTATTGACAGGATGCCAAGCCACGAGGTGAGGACAAGCAGACCACAGGCTTCCTAACTCAGAAGGCCACACTCCCACTGTATTGCCTCTATAACCAGCAGTCTTCAGTGTCACTGAGTCCTTGCATGTGCCTGGAGAACTCCTGAGGCAGTGACTGCCCATGTGCAACAGCAAAATGTAGACTTTGGGGATACAGTGTCATCCAGTCAGTGGGGTTGAGAATAAACATGGGCTTACAAATAGAAAATGGTGTTCCTGAGGTATTTGGTTTTGTGAACTTAGTGTGCAAGGAGTTGCATGTTTCTTCCTAGATGTATAACCTACAGTTAGGGTGTACCACCATGCAACAACTTCATCCAAGCTGTCTTTAATTGAGTTCATTAGCACGCTTTCCTACTCATCCATTTTTTAAATGACCAAAGAGGATTGACTGTTCATCTAAAGAAGACAAACACTATAAAATACCCAATCCTAAAGGGTGTACTATAGTCAAGAGAAAATACACAAGTAACATAGATTAAATATGAACACTTAAGTAGGGTTAGGAACTTTCTTTACAAATTCTTAACCACTTAATCTAAGTAGCTTTTTGATCAAAAGTGATATAAGGTACCCTGGGGAGCCAGGCTGGTGTCATCGCAACTGTTTGTATTTCAGCTGTATTCACCCATTCTTTTTTATATATCTTTATTAAAGGGACAACTGTTCTCTGGATGAGACAGATTGTCTTATGTCTGTTTTCTCTTCCTCCTTTTAATCTGTATGGTCAATTAGAAAGGATGACAGCCATATCCAGTTCCTATAACTTTATTTTCAAATTAGAAAGATTCTGAACTGGCTTATTAATACCAGCTCCTCTGCCAAATTTAGCTGTGTATAGGGAGACTGTCTCAGAAAGGGCTGCTTCTTAGAAATGGTTGCTACTGTTTTTAAATTTCTGATCTCATGACCAGAAAGCTAACAAAAAGGAACTTAATTGGTTAGCAGTCTTGTTCGTGTAAAGTATCTCCGAGAGAGACAGCAGGAGTGAATAAAGTGGTGGCTTTAAATAGAGAACGTAGGAGCGGTAGGAGAGAAGTCCTAATGAGTAGCAAAGGTAGTGGTCAGTGTGGGCATAGTGAGTGGATTCTTTCAGCTGATGCTTTGTCCGGAACAGGATGCCTAGAGAACGGTAACACTGAGAATGAACAAAGTCATTCTCAAAACCCTTGTTTTTGCAGGCAAGAAACTACATCCAGTCTCTGACCCAGATGCCGAAGATGAACTTTGCAAATGTATTTATTGGTGCCAACCCCCTGGGTAAGTTGACCATATCCTTGTTTCATGGTATTGAACTGGTTTATGATGAATTAGGGATTTGAAGGAGAGTTTTTACTTTTGACCAAACAAGGCACCATTAATTAAATCTTGATAACATGGTTATCTGTGTTTGTATTTTCACATTTAAAAAAACACACACACACATGGAAGGTTAATAGTATTTATATGGTCACAGAATTTGGTGGGGGAAATAGGCTGGTTCAGTGAAGAAAGAAAATTAATGGGAAATTGGAAGAAAAGGTGGGGAAGGCAGGGAAACAGAGGCACAGAAGAAAGCCTGTGGCTTGTTCCCAACTGCCACTGATCTGTGGTGATCCATGCTGAGGTAGAAACGACTGAGGCACAGCCTGGTGCTCAGCAGACCCACCTCAAGCTCCCACAGGGGACTGTGCTCTGCTGTGCTGGAGATGCCCACTGCTGCCAACTCTGCTGTCTGCCATGCTCAGTGGACTTTCCCCTCTCCTCATCCTGTGCTCTTCAGAGCCTTAACCCTCCCTTTCTCTTTGTGGAGCTGGTTTGCTGTCCAGATCCTTGTCAAAGGAAGGTGGCAGTGACGACTGAGGATGTCGCCTTAGCTATAAAGGAGTTGACCCATTCCTTAAATCTGGGGGCCGATGTGGGCTTCACATGGTCCATTGGTGGCTTTGTCTAAGGCTCTGGTTCCCTGACTCTAGGAGAATGCAGTTGCTGATGCTGTTTAATGGTGGGCACGGAGGATCAGGCCAGGACCTCCCTGCAGTAGGGAAGAGAGCAGTGCTGTGACAGCTAGTGTCATCAGCCTTCTCGCTTTTCTCAAGATTGTGTTATAGGGGTGTGTTTGACAAGCTTACTGCATTTCCTTAAGTCTTTGTGAGTCATCCTCTGTGTAAAGGTCCCAACAACTGTGCTATAGGTTTAGTGTTGTGTGTGTGTGTGTGTGTGTGTGTGTGTGTGTGTGTGTGTGTGTGTGTGTGTGTGGCTTGGTTGGGTTTCGATGGTACTGGAGCTTCAGCTCAGGGCCTTGCACTTAGAGGGCAGGCAGGCCCTCTACCACTTGAACCACACCTCCAAGCCCCAGGTTTAGTTTTATCCTTTTGAGGGCTAGTGGTCATGCTGACCTCTCCAGAAATTGGAGTAAAGGCTAGATGGTTTTACCTTTTTAAGAACTGCATCTGTGGTCACTATAAAGAAGAGTTTGTGTGGCTGTGATCAATTATTACAGTAGCAGAGATGTCCGTGCTCTTGGAAGTGCTAGGCAGCTATAGATGAATTCCCACAGCCTCAGAGATGGAGAGTATGTCAGATCCCAGCTAGCTCACTGTCATGTGCAAGAATGAATTCACAAACTCCTCATGGGTGTGTAGAATTCTATTGGGATTGGTGTCTTCCTAGAATAATCTCATTGGGCTTTGTATAATTTATTCAAGCTGTTACTAGTTCAAGGATCTGTGAGAAGCTCTCTTTGAGCTAGAAGTATTGCAAGATGTTGGGAATACGTATATGCTGGTAGTTTCCTTGTCTGTCCTTGTTCTGAATTTATTTTCATCTTACCAGCCCCAAGTTTTAGACATGACAGCGCTAACCATTTAACTCCCTGTTTACAGACTCAAAAGAATTTGGTAGTTCCTATTTCTGGGGGAGAAGGGAGGTATGGGTTTCCCAGCAGCTTATTTAGGTCACATACATCCTGACAGATGTCCCCGTTCTCTGGAACCATGACATTTAAACGTTGAAAAGAACCAGATAGCACTTAACAATCCAGATTGCTATGGAGTTGAAAGGAGGCTGTGGTCCATCTGGTGCTGCACACTGCACTCCTCAGAGTTCAAACGTGCCTCCTAGCCCGTTGCCAAACAGTGATGTCATAGAAAGAGTCTCCCTTCTGCAGACGGAACATGGTGTTACTGATCACGAGCTCATACCCAGCGTGCTAACTGAGCAGGAGTGCTCCAGCGATATAAATATGAACAGCTCTGTTTGGTCGATCAGCCACTGACTTCATTTGACTGCTATTCCCAAACACAAATGAAACTTAAATTGCCCTTTGTGTTTATATCTGTCAAGATCATTGGGAAATCTTTTTCTTACCTCTGACCTTGTTCCTTGTCAAAATGTTTTTACCTAAATATTACCAAAATATTTTACCCTAGGGTGGCAAAGTCCTGTCATAATCCATGTTCAGTTATAAAACCAACAGCTGAAAAGATTTGTTTTTCTAAGAAGAGAAGAACATCAGAAGACTGTATGTCCAGGCAGTTCTCCCAGTGCCTGAAAGTGTAAACAGATGAACTTGATCTCTTCAGGATGCTGTCTCCTCTTCAGCACCCCTCACCCCTCCACATCTAAGAAATAACTTGCTAAGTCACAGAAGCCTTCTGTTTCACCGCAGTGGTGACTTGTGATCAGAGTATTACTTCCCCTCCCAAGTGCCGGAACTCCAAGCTCAGAGATAATTAGAAAAACCACCATTCTGTAACCCCCTAATGAAATCATTGTTTGGGGAGGCAAAAGAAAATCAATGCATGCTAAAAGTCATAAGTGAAAGGAATTGGTACTCACCCAGTGCCAAATATCCCGCAGATTTCTTGCCGAGGTGGGGGAAGATCTTAACCTGCTGCTCAAACTTAGTGCTATTAGCAGCGAGGGAAGTGCCACATGCACTGTCAGACACACGGCACCTCCTGTGATATACTCTTGCCAAAAATGTCTGGCCTGACACTTCAGTTCTTAGACCTGTCTTCTGGTTTGGGGGAATCACAAAGAAGCAACCATACAGTACCTTAGTGATGGCTGTTCTCAAGAGAACTGGAGGGACTTCTTACATCAAAATCTGGAATAGACAGGGGTTAGAGAATCTGATGCTAGATTAAGAGAGATTAAAGAAACCAACTCAAAGGTATATGTGGCCCATGACTGAATCCTGGTTACGAAGTTGTAAAAAGACAACTTGACGTAATTAGAGAAATTTTAACATGAGCAGATTTTAGGTAGTGTTTGACATTTATTTGTTATGGGTAATAACAGCCTGTGATTATGCAGGAAGATGTCTTTGTGCTGAAATAAAGTATAAACTGCCATGTCTAATTTTATTTTAAAACAGTTTGGAGAAACACAAAATTTAAAATGCTGTCTGTTGAATCTGTATGGTGGATATATGAGTGCATTCACTGTAGTGTTGTTTTTATTTTCTGTATATTTGAAATTTTTCAACCTTAAAAATAAAATTTCCTTTCATCCAAATATCATGTCTCATCCACACCCCTGTGGAAACCCTCAGTCTGTTCATCATTTGAAGATCTGTTTCATGAATATTTATTTACCGCCTTATGTTTGTAAATAAACAGTGAAGGAGGCCTGGCACTGGTGGCTCACTCCTGTAACCCTGCTACTCGATCAGGAGGATCTTGGTTCAAAGCCAGAAATAGTTCGTAAGACCTATCTTGAAAAATCCCATCACAAAAAAGGGATGGTGGAGTGGGCTCAAGGTGTAAGCCATGAGTTCAAGCCCTAGTACTGCAAAAAAAAAAAAAGAAAGAAACTCAAATCCAAAACCCCTCTCTACGTCTTCCAGGTCACTTCAGCTGACTTCCAGTTTGATACAGTGGTAGCAGTCTCACTTGGGTATTCCAGGGGAGTGTGTTCTAACAGAATCCAAGTTATTTTTTTTTAATTCTTCTTTAGTGATGTTTGGTTTTTTGTTTTGGTTTTATGGTGTGCTGGAGATCAACCCAGGGCCCTGAATATGCTAAATAAGCACTCTGCACTGAGCCACACTCCCAGCCCAGTAGTCAGTAGTTCATTGTTGGTGATGCAGTCCTGGGTCTAAACTCAGGAATTCAAATTTGCTAGGCAGACTCTATAGCACTCGAGCCATGCTGCCAGCCCTATTTTGCTTTAGTTATTTTTCAGGTAGGGTCTTCATTTTTGCCTGGGGCCAGCTTCTGTAATCCTCCTACTTACACCTCCCACACAGCTAGGATCACAGGCAGGTACCACCATTCCTGGTTTGTTGATCGAGATGGTGATCTCACTCACTTTTTGCCTGGGCTGGCCTTGAACCACAGTCCTCACAATTTCTGCCTCTTGAGAAGCTAGGTTTACTCCAGAGTAATCCTACACCTGGCCTGAAATAATATATTCTTTAAAAATGCCAAATATGTACACATACAAAGAAAAGGGGGTAGTACACTCTAGAACAGGTACTCGAGAGGAGAGTGGTCGTTTGGATATGAATGGTCAAAGCTGCATTTGCTCATTAACATGGCATAATGTTTTGCAACATGTTATAAACTCTGCATTTTCCCTTCCTCTCTGCGGTTCTGATAGCTGTTGACTTGCTGGAGAAGATGCTCGTATTGGACTCAGATAAGAGGATCACAGCAGCCCAAGCCCTCGCACACGCCTACTTTGCTCAGTATCACGACCCTGATGATGAGCCAGTGGCTGATCCTTACGATCAGTCCTTTGAAAGCAGAGATCTTCTTATAGATGAGTGGAAAAGTAAGTCCTCAGGCAGGACAGCATGTACCTTGAGAATTTAGATTTGAAAATCTTTTCCAGGTGAATCAAAAGCCACAGGAAAAATAAAAACTTACAAGTAACTACTACCAACTTAGTAAAACTTGTAGTTGGGGTCTCTGACAGAGAATGTTTTTCTGTCTGTCCTTGTGATCGAGCTGTTGTAGATGACAACACTGGATCTTTGAGGTGCTGCTTGTGTGGTCTGACTGCACAGCCCCTCACATCTGCATAGAGCTTTGGGTTTCTCAGAGTTTTGCATTTTGCACATCCTTCTGAGATACGTAGGGAATGGAGTATTTTTATAGTTTCACAACTGAGAGAACCAAGGCAAGAAGAGTTTATATCTTACCTGTTACCTTAGACCTAGTGCCCTAGGGACACAGGTAGGAATGGAGCCACATCTCTCATGTCCCATCTCATATTCTTTCCATAAATCACCAGTTCAGAGCTCCAGTTGAGTCATAAAAGCCAGGACTGTCTTTGCTGCAACTGGGAGTGCTCTGCTATTCTCAGGTACCGCCGCAGGGCTCTGGAGAGGAGCCACTCAACAATGGGGGAGACAAAAAGAAGGGTTCTCTGTGTATCCTTGATTCACATGTAATCACATCCATACTAGGATCCCACACAGACAACGAAGCAGTTAATTTGAAGTAGTCCATCAAACCACTAGAAGGATGGGAGGACCTGATCTCGAGGTCAGAGTGCCTGCCAGCAAAGAGAGTGCTCACATCTCACCTCTTCCTTCCCACTTCTAGGCCTCACCTACGATGAAGTCATCAGCTTTGTGCCGCCACCCCTTGACCAAGAAGAGATGGAGTCCTGAGCACCTGGTTTCTGTTGTGTTGATCCCACTTCACTGTGAGGGGAAGGCCTTTTCACAGGAACTCTCCAAATATCATTCAAGTGCCTCTTGTTGAAAGATTTCCTCCATAGTGGAAGGGGTGCGTGTGTGTGAGACGTGTGTCTGTCTGTCTGTCTGTCTGTCTGTCTTTGTGGAAGGTTAAGAGCATAATATGAGCTAACTGTGATCACAGTGACTTTACATGGAGTTGTGGAGGCTCCATGGCAGGCAGCCTCTGCCTGCTCTTTTTCCCATCCAAGTAAGTACTTACCAGGCCCAACCCTGCTCAGCTTCCAAGACCAGATGAGATCAGGTGCATTCAGGGTGGTGTGGCCGTGTGTGGACTCTGCCTGCTCTTCTGAGAGTTGGCCCAGGCAGACAAAAGCTGCCATGTTGTTAGGGATATGCTAAATGCAAAATAAAAAAAACATTAAATGTCCTGGACCCCAATCATGCTTTTGCCACTTTGGCCTCTTCTGTGGGCCCACCTTGGTGGTTGGGGGTAGACTTGACCACACAGCACAGTGGTATACCGAGAAGGCTCACAGCTCATTGCTTCAGGTCCAAGGCCGTCCCTCCGTGATGCATGCAGCCAAAAAGGACCAACTGGCTTCTGTGCACTAGCCTGTGATTAACTTGCTCAGTGTGGTTCTCAGAATGTGACAGGTTGTGTTTGAAACTATAAATATGTTTGTGCCTTAAAAGGAGAAAAGGACGTGTAGATGGTTAAAAGACTGCAGCTGCTGAAGTTCTGAGCCAGCCAAGTAGACAGAGCTGTTGGATGGCCACTTGTGAGGCTGAAGAAATGAGGCATCTTTCAGGGGCAGCCATGTGTGCGCATGCGTGTATATGCATTTCCTCTCCCTCGCCCCTGGTGGTGGTGCCAATCCTTTACTCATGCCTCACCTTCAGGGTAGAGGTCTCCTGAGAGTGGGCCCTGTGGTCAGGTGCAGGTTCCTGCTGTCAGTGCGCTTCCTGTGTGCTCTTTATTTCTAGCAGAGTGAGGATGTGTTTGCACGTCTTGCTGTTTGAGCATGCACAGCTGCCCCTCCTGTTCTCTTCAGGAGGCCCTGTCCCAGGCGAGTTTACCCGTGAAGACTTCTTGGTAGTTGGGATTCCATGTCACCTCAGCTGATGCTGTGGGCGAGTGGCCTCATCCTCTGCAGCCCCAGCGCTATTGTGTTGAACACAATTGATGCTCCAAGTGCTCTTGGTGTAAGAACCATGAAAAATGGAATAGGTGGATGGATAGCATTTTCATTCTTGCCATCTGATTTTCAGCAAACTTTTTGGGGACCTATCATGGGAAAGATGAGGGTGCTTCCCAGGAATAATCCCAAACTTCGGAAAACAAGTCGTGCTCTTCACTCCCAGTTACCAATGCTCAGAACTGCTGAAGATCAAAGTAAAAAATGAAAGTGCATGAGACCAGAAACTCCTTTTGCTGTCTTTCTCTAAATGGTTATTTTAAGTAGTCACGAGGTGTCTCTCCACCTCTCTGTGGAAAGGGCCTTGGCAGCTTAACATTAATTGATTTCTTGGTCTTGGTTTGGGGAGAAATAAATTTTGTTGCAGAATTTTGTATATTGCAGGAATCCTTTGAGAATGTGATTCCTTTTGATGGGGAGAAAGGGCAAATTATTTTACTATTTTATATTTTCACCTTTATAGATGAAATATCCTCAGGGGTGGAGAAAAGTTGTTTTTTTAATTTTCTGAATTTCAGGCATTTTGTGCTTACACGAGGACCCATCTCTTCAAACCTTTTGTGTAATGAGAAAGTATAAAGCCAATTCCAGTGTGGGCCTTGTAACAAATCTTGTATTGAGGCCGAGATGGCTCCATTCTCTGCAGTGCAATGACACATGCCTCCAGAGGGGCAGCATAGGACTATAGGACCCCTGAATCCGTGGAAGCCGGAAGGAAGGAGGCAGGGGGTGGTGAGTCCACCTGGTATTCTGTGCCTTTAAAGGAAAGGCAACCAAAAGGCCTCATCGCCTCCACATGCAGCCCAAGTCCTCACCATTGCAGCAAGGTGAATCTCATCAGCCATGTTTGGTCGTAAGCGCTGTTGTGACTTCCTGCAGAACACTGCTCTGAGGATCATTAAAAAAGGCCTTTGCACATGTGCTCCAAGAGCCAACTCTAGGCTGCAACCTGTGGGAGAGCTCCTTGGATTCTAAGCATAGTGTTCCCATCTTTTGAGTTCTCTCAGCAGAAGACAAAAGAGAATGAGGGAAACTGCTATTTTATTTGTATTCGTGAACTTGGCTGTAATCAGGTATGCCATATAGGATGTCAGACAATACCACTGGTTAAAATAAAGCCTATTTTTCAAAATCAGTGAGTTTCTCAAATTTCTTACGCTTTTCTCTCGATTGTTCTAACTGAATGCACACAATGGCATTGTATCTGCATTCTTTCAGCTGTGGCCTGGCATGTGTTCCTCATAGGTCTTACTCCTAGCATTTAGAAAGCATTTATAGTGCTTTCAGTGATGTATTTATGATGAAGAGAACCTGGGTCTTTGATGTGGATGGGAAAAGCCGAAAAATAAGGTACTCGAGGCAGGTCTGTGTCACCATACTGGTGAGAGTGGCCTTGCCCGGGGGTCAGCACACTGGCCCTGAGGCCACATCCCACCCACTGTCTGTTTTTGTGTGGCCTGCTGAAAATGGTTTTTATGTTTTTATATGGTTGAAAGATCAAAAGAAGAATATTTTTGTAGCATGTAAAAGTAATATAAAATTCAAATCTCAGTGTCCATAAATAAAGTTTTATTGGAATATAACCTCACTCATTTGTTTACATATTGTCTGTGGCTGTTTTATGCTACAGTTGTCAGAGTTGAGTAGTTGGGACAGAGACCAAAAGACCTATAAAATGCAAACTATTTTGCACTTGGCCTTTTATCAGAGTTGTCAGAGGGCTTCAATTTCCCCATCTTTAAACAGTGAATTTTAAGTTCTTTTCAGCTTAGATAGTTCATGTCTAAGCTGTGTATTTTTATTTAAAGATTGACAGAGGAGTCGGGTGCATGTGTATCCAGACACATTGTTCATAGGCTTTTACGCACATGTATCTATGACCCTGCTTTGTGTTAACGACCCTGGAAATTACTCTTCAATAGCAGTGAATCTCATCCCAGGATTAAAGGGCCACAGATCTCACAGCTGAGTGTTCAGGGCCTTTGCTGGTGTGTGTCCTTTCTCAGTGTCCTGAGACTGACACCCAACAGGTGTCCTGGGCTGGATTTTGAGGCCTGTCCTGGGAGGATACTGAGAGCTGCAGCTGGGCTTTCTGTCCTGGGTCAGCCAGTGCCTGGCAGGCAGCTGGGAATAACAGCAGGGGATTGAAGGCAGACCAAGGGCAGGCTGCATTCCTGTGCTCAGTGGGAGAGGATGGGAGAAGAGGGCCATATGAAGTACAGTAGCTCCTACAGGGACATTTTGTCTTTACATTTTGCCATGAGCGCAGCCTTCATCTTCGTGTGAGGAGAGGTCTGCGGAGGCCGAGAGCTGACACTGGGGAAAGCTTACTCAAGGAATCCACTTAAAACGGGACCACATCCTCACAGTATGTAGTGGGGGTGGGGAGAGGGGGACTGTTTTCAAGAAAGCTATAAAAGTATGTTCAGTATTTCAAATAACTTAATATTTGGAACTGGAGATTGAACCCAGGGCCTTGAGCTTGCTAGGCAAGCACTCTACCACTTAAGCACCTCCCCCAACCCTTTTGACTTTTGAGACAGGGTCTTACTAACTTTACCCATGCTGGCCTCAAAGTCACAGTCATCTTGTCTCTGCCTCCTGATTAACTAGGATTGCAGGCATTCACCACCGGCCCAGCACAAATACATATTGTTATCATGAACAAAGAATCAAGTGTTTTTCAAGTGAAATAGTATCTTACAATATCTCATTTGATTTATACCACATATCATAGAACTTCTGCAAGAGCACCTGAGGCCTTCATGAGTCTTCCACAATGCCTCTTGACCTTCCTACTCACAGCATTCTTTTTGTTCAACACCCTCGGCACCGACCTCATCACCTTTATTAACTGGCCTGAGTCCAACACATCCCTGGTTTCCCTTGGTTTTGCTTGAGATTTGAGCAGTTTTCTAGCAAGTCCACCATCATTTGCAAGGCTGTGATCATTGCATGTAATCTGATTATGTTTTTATCATTTGTCATGCTCCTGTAGAGACTAACAGAATGCTAGAGTGCAACAGGCAGGATACGCTCTGGGCTCAGGTACTTGGGAAGCAAGGACTGACTCAGGTCATTAGTAAATGTTTCCATGTTGTGATGACTTTCACATCTCTAAAATCTGGTACCTGCAGTACTTGGTTACTGAATATGCAACGATGAGCCCTTTAATTTATAATTCAGATACATTTAATAGGGTGCATGCCCTTTGAACCTAGCATTACTCTTCCAGAAGTCCTTTTAACGGTGCACAAACAAAAATGCAAAAGGCTGAATACAGTGCCACATTCTCTGTAATAGACACGGGAGGTGACCCACATATCTGTTGATGAGGGCTTGATTGAGTAACAAGGCCACCTGCACAGAGCAGCGAGGCGTGCAGGGTTGAATGTGTGAGGTACATGAGGAGGGATGGTAAGTGGCAATCAGTAGTTTATGCTCACCCTGTTTTCATTGATAGATAATACAGGTATACCTTACCTGGAATGCTCGGGTCAGAATCTTTCAGCTTTCAGAGTGTGTTGATTTTAGTCTTTACTGGTTGACAATCCCTATTTAGAAAGTTTGAAATCTGCAACGCTTTGAGTGCTGACGGGAGCCCTGATATGATGAAGCATTTCAGGTTTTTGGATTAGGAAGAACCTAAGGGACACACGAAACTGTTACCAGCTATCTCTGTCAAGTAGGATTGTGGGCTGTGGTGTTTTGTGCTGCTTCTAGAATGTTTAACTTTCTTATTTTAATACTGAATATTGTCTCGTTTCGTTTTTGGCTGTACTGGTTTTTGAACTCAGGACATTGCTTTTGGAAGACAGGTGCTTTTCCACTTGAGCTACTCCCCTGGTTTTGGTTTGTTTTTGTTTTTTTCTTTTTTCCTTTTTTGTAATCAGAAAAAACTTTTTATAATGGGAAAGATTTTTAAAATCTGTGATCTGGTGAACCATTCCCCAACTTTGGTTTTGCTTGGGCTAGAGCCAAGCTTTTCAAGACAGGAAAACACTTCCTGGTGATGGATCTCTCCCGGCTCTCTCTCGGGCTTTTGGCAGGCCGAGCTTTACCACCGCTGTGGCTGTGTCACCGATCTCTCCCAGCAGGAGGGTTGGCGATTTCTTCCCCACTACAGTGTGCATTTTTAAGGATCTGAAGCAGGGATTCTCAACTCTAGCACCGTTGATATCTTGGGCCAGATAATCCTTCACGTGGGGTCTACTCTGAACATTGCTCTACTTGGCAACAGCACTTGTGCCCCTTCCCCAATTGTAACAGCTGTGGATGTCTCCTGAGTTGCCAAGTGTCCCACAGATGGCAAAATTCTCCCCTGCAGAAGACCACTAAAGTTTCTCCCTCTCTGTCTTTTTTGGCAGCACTGGGGTTTGAACTCAGGGCCTCCTACTTACTAGGCAGCTCTTTTACTGTTTGAGCCACTCCACCAACCCTTTTTTGTAATGGGTTTTTTGAGATAGGGTCTCATAAACTGTTTGCCCAGGGCTGACTTCAAACCTCGATCCTCCTAATCTCTGCCTCCCAAGTAGCTAGGATTATAGGCATGAGCCACTGGTGCCTCTTTTCTTGAAATATAATTAAAGGTCAGCACCTACCAACCTGTTGTACCTTAAAGAAGTGGCTCAGTGTCTCAGAAGGAAAGCACAAATTTTAAAGGCTCAAGTATATCTTGAGGAAGAGAGGAAGATGTTAGGCATTTCAGAAGAAAGAACATTTAGTACCATGAAGACCATTTTATTTCTCAAAATACATAAAATGGTGGTGGACGTGATGTGAGCTAAGTTGTCCTTTGTTCAGATGCTCTTTGGCCATTATCCACAACAGAAAATCTAGTACTTAAATCAGAGAGTAACTATAGGTCTTCTTAGTGAGGCGGGTAGAGGAGGAGAGTATCTACTGGGTTTTGAAGTCCCAGATCTGCGTTCAAAGTTCAGCTCGACCTCTGGTCAGGTCCATGACCTTGGGATAAATTGGTAGCTCTCAGGTGGTTAGAAAGATGAAATGACATGAGTCTCAGTGTGTCTGGTCTGGTGTGGACACTTGGGGTGCTGGTTGGTTTGCTTCTCTCTTGAGTTGACACTGGCTTGGGGCCATCCTATTGGCCTAAGTCTGGAGTGCTTTGCAGCTGGGGACCAGGAGCCTCTGAACCCGACTGGGAGGAGGTTTTCTGGCACCTAGATGGGGCAGAGGCAACTTCTGGAAGCCAGAGGCTGTGGTCTGAGGAGTCTCTGGCCAGCAGGACTCTGTTGTGTTGTAAACCCACTTGCAGTTTCTAGGAGTTAAATGAGGAAATAACCTGAACCCCAATTTTGCAACTGAAACATAAAATGATGCCACCACCTTAAGTGTCAGTTGTGGCAAAAGATAAAAGATGTAATACCACCGACCCAACCTAGCTCCTTGACAAAGACCAGCTCTCAACTCTCATCAGCTCCGGCACCCTATGCATCATTAGTATTTCATAGCACCGCCATGATCCTAAAGTGAAGGTCGTAGACGTTTCACACGCATAATTTCCAAGAAAACATAGTGCCTAATATAAATGATGAATACAGGAAGAACAAACGCATCTCGATATGTAAATGCTCAACCACGATGGCGTAAAAGGCACTGTGACGCACTCAGATTCTTGCGCCTGTCCATCAACTCGCCTTGATTGCGGCAGCTGTAAATGCCGAGAGATGTGGTTGTGTCCCCTTGGCCACTTAATGACCATTGCAGACTGCTGTCCGTCATCTGATTTTCGGCAGTCGGTGAACAACTGTTGGTGAAATTGTAAACAATTAAAATGTTTGATTTGCTCAGCTGTGAGCCTGGAAACTTTTAAGCATATTAATGGGCAAGAAAAAGATTTTGTTTTGTATGTGCGGTCAAGTTACAGTATGGGCTTGGATAATCATAAGTAAGTTTTCCACCTACTTGGACATCCAGCCGGATGTTTCTGACATGAAGCAATTCTTGTTGAAACTGACTCTGCACAGTGGCCTCTGCGTATTAATTATCAGTAAGACCCCTGATCATTGTCACAACCAAAACTGATCCCAAGGTGCACCCATTGATGTGAGGAAGTCTTTTCTATCAAAGTGTGTCGCCATCCTAGCAGCTTGCAGTTCTTGTTAACTGAGCTCCCTTTTCGTGCTAAATTACTACCTACCCCACCCCCAAATTCCAAGTGTAGCATTAGCCAATCACGAGCAGACTGTGCACCCGAACTGGACCAATCGGAGTAAAGGGGGCGGGGCCCCATTGCACCATAAACGCGGACCTACGGACTGCCCTGTGCTTGCCTGCCCGTGTGCCTGCGCACCCTCCTGCGGAAGTAAATTTTGCCTTGCTGACATTCTCCATTCCTGTGTCTTCACTGTGACTCTGGTGGTCCTCGAGGGGCTTATTTCTAACAATCTGGGGGCTTCTCTAGGATAATTCCACCCAGGAAAGGTGCTCGGAAGCCCCTTCTCCTGAGGGAGATGCGTCCCTCCGCCTCATTGCAGTTGCCCCAGGTATCAGGAGACCAGCGC